GTTCCCAGCAGCAGAGGGCCCGCGACACGGAGGGGCGTGGCCTGCAACCCGCGCCCTGGGGATTTGGACGCCCAAGATGGGTACGGAAAGAGTGAGCACAATGCCCAACAGCAAATGTTGCCCCAAGCCAGCAGCGGCCGCTGTTGGGCAAGCGGCCTTCTGTCTCAAATGGACACAGGCCGCGGCGGCGCGGACAGCGAGTCCTCTTCAAAATGAATTGTCTTCCAACGAGGCTGTTCCCTCAATGGAAATGAACCGTTGTAGGGGCCTACGAAGAGGGAGCTTGGAGGGAGGCTTAATTCCAACATCGTTGATGACTCTTGGGTTTTACACTGGTCCTCCTCCTCCTCCTCCTCCTCCTCCTCCTCCTCCTCCTCCTCCTCCTCCTCCCTCTCCTCCTCCCTCTCCTCCTCCCTTCTCCTCCTCCTCCCTTCTCCTCCTCCTCCAACTGCTGCTGGGCATCGTACCCATTCTTTCCGTGCCGAGGGGGAGCAGGCGAGGCCCTCGCACGAGCTGCTCCCCCGCAGCCCCGGCGAGGGGCCCTCGAGGCCGCGGAGGGCAGCGCAGTGCGCCTCGGGCCCCGGCGGCGCAGACCACACGGCTGGCGTGACCGCACCAACGCTTCGTCGGCGAGGACCGGGCAGGGACCGACAGCCCCCGGCCCCCCTGCAGGCCAACCACGACATGTTCCCAGAGAGAAAGAATGTCATGAAAACAGCAGACGGCCGGTACACGCAGGAGTGACCCTGGGTAAGAGTGACCTTTGGTGCGCGGCTTTTTGGGGGGCAGCGTGGGGACCAAACCTGGGCGCGCAAGCCGTTGCTCCTGCCTCGTTTTCAGCCATACCAAAAGTCACTCCAGCGAAAGGTCACTCTTACGTCCAGTCGACTCAATTTTCGTCGACGAGGACTGGGAAGGGATTTAGCTTGCCGTCGCTCAAACGTCCAATTCCCGTGCATTTGTCGGTTTCGTGCGTGCTTACTTTGCGAAATGATCCAGGATGCTCCTTGACGGTCCTCGCAGAGAAAAAAATGCACACGTCCGAGCGATGCCAAGTTAGAGAGAGAGCAAGTGTCACGAAAACAGCAAATATTTTGCTTCGAGAGATGCCCACCGGGGCCTTCGGCGCGTGTCCCCAGGCCTGGTGCTGCTCGTCACTCGTGGCAAGCATGCGCTCGGCGCTCGCGTCGCGCTGGAACACAGGCGCCGTGGCTCGACCGCTGCGGATCTGTCTGCTCGATCGCACCATGTTCGCCATTTTCGGCAGTGTTGTGTGAGCGTTTTTTGATTCGGCGCTTCGACTTTGGGCGGAAGGGGGGGGGAGGGGGGGGGTCTGGATCTGGACCTCTGCTTAGTGCGACTGCTTGCAGCACTGGGTCCTGTGAGGGGAGACCCCAACAGCCTGAAAAAGGCGCCCAAAACAGTCAGGATCTACTCATTGGGGGGGAAACAATGAAAAACAAACGCCCACTATGCTGTCGCCACATCATATGGTATGTTCCGTTCTGCTCTCGATGAGTGTCGTGACGTCGTGACGCCTGTCTCGATTGATATGTAATCGAACCGGTCGTTGCTCAGCCCGTCTGTTTCTGTGGCCAACCTCACGCGGGCAAGCATGTTGCGTTTGATAGGGCGCCATGAGTCGCAAGACGGCATCTTCTACAAACTTCAATTATGTTATATTCCAGTTTGTCAGACGGTGGAACACTGTATAATGTCATATCATGCTCTTAACAAGCCGACTTGACGTCTTGACGTCTGTCACATTTTATATTCATGGTTCTGCGCCTCTATGTTCTTGTGGCAAGCCTGTCCTCGGCGCGCACGTCGCGTTTGGTAGGACGCCGTTAATCGGTCACTGATAGTTCTTTTCTCTTGGTGCATCATTGTTTGATCCTGGACGACGCCGTTAATCGGTCACTGATAGTTCTTTTCTATTGGTGCATCATTGTTCGATCCTGGACGAAGTGACTATACAGTATTGCATTCGGGTCTGCAAATTGATCTTCAAAAATGTAACATACTATGTTGTGTTACGTTCAACTCTCTGATTCACAATTCTACTCAACGTTATTTGTATAGGGCACATGGATGACCGTGGCTGCGGAGCACTCGGGGCAATCAATGAAACTCGTGTCAAGGAGCCCGCACGTGCAAATCCGAAGAAAAAAACGTAGAGTCCCCCCTGCGGGTAAAATCGACTTTCGCGGTACTCTATACCACAAAGCGTTGCTCCTCCAAACCCGCGGGGCGCGCGCCGAAAACGCGCTCCCCGACCGTCGGCTCGAGGAGGAGCAGGAGGAGGCAACCTGAGTATCGCTCAACCGATCCCTAACCCCGCTGGCGTGGCCAGCGCCCTGCAGGACGAAAAATCAGCCGACCCCTTGTGGGTCTCTAGGCGTGTGAGATAGCTCCCCCCCATAGCCCCCCCCAGGGACCCCAAACCAGAGATTTGACCCCCCCCCGGCCCTGGCCCACCCACCGCCGAACGCGCCATGGGGGAGCAGAGGGTCCCAAAACGGGCCAAAAGCGCACAAACGGGCCCGCGCGACGGTCCAAGAAGGCCCCGGGTCACCGAAAAATCGAACCAAGACGCCCAAGAAGGCACCCAGACGACCTCAGATGCCTCCGAGACGCTCCCAGACGCGTCCAGCAGGCTTCAAGATGCGCCCAAGAGGCGCTCCAAGGGGACCCCAACAAGCAAAACTCATAGATTTCCTATGGGGAAACGTGTATCTTTGGTATCTACGGCCTTTCGGCGTTCACGGCGTCGAAGACGGCCCTAGAAGCGTCCAAGACCACCCCAAGACGGCCCAAGAAGCGCCCAAGAGGTTCCCAATACTGCCCAAGAGGGCGCCAAGACAGCCCAAGAAGCGCTCAAGACGGCCCAATAGGGCCCCAAAACAGCCCCAAAAGGGGGACCACAAACCGAAAATCCGAGCCATTCGCCCCGACAACGTCCCAGGAGGCCCCAAGAAGCTCCCAAGAGGGCCCCGCGAGAATCCCAAAAGGCTCCAAAAGGCTCCCAAGAGGCGCCCACAAGGCTCCACGAGGCCCCCAAAAAGCCCAACAGAGGCCCCAAGAGACCCCAAAACGGTTTCCAAAAGGCTTCGGCCCTGCCCTCGCGAACCTCGCGAAAAGCCTGACCGCCTGCCGCCACACGCCCATATTCCCTCCTCCTCCCCCTCCTCCTCCTCTTCCTCCTCCTCCTCCTCCTCTTCCTCCTCCCCCTCCCCCTCCCCCTCCCAATCCCCCTCCCCCTCCCCCTCTCCCTTTCCCTCCCCCTCCCCCTCCCCCTCCCCCTCCCCTCCCCCTCCCCCTCCCCCTCCTCCTCCTCCTCCTCCTCCTCCTCTCCTCTCCTCCTCCTCCTCCTCCTCCTCCTCCTCCTCCTCCTCCTCCTCCTCCCTCCTCCTCCTCCTCCTCCTCCTCCTCTCCGCCGCCGCCGCCGCCGGCCGCCGCCGCCGCCGCCGCCGGCCGCCGCCGCCGCCGCCCTCCGCCTCCGCCTCCGCTTCCGCCCCGCCTCCGCCTCCGCCTCCGCCTCCGCCTCCGCCTCCGCCTCCGCCTCCCTCCCCTCCCTCCTCCTCCTCCTCTCCTCCTCCTCCTCCATCCTCCTTCCTCCTCCTCCTCCTCCTCCTCCTCCTCCTCCTCCTCCTCCTCCTCCTCCCTCCTCCTCTCCTCCTCCTCTCCTCCTCCTCCTCCTCCTCCTCCCCTCCTCCTCATCCTCCTCCTCCTTCCTCCTCCTCCTCCTCCTCCTTCCTCCTCCTCCTCCTCCTCCTCCTCCTCCTCCTCCTCCTCCTCTCCTCCCTCCTCCTCCTCCTCCTCCTCCTCCTCCTCCTCCTCCTCCTCCTCCTCCTCCTCCTCCTCCTCCTCCTCCTCCTCCTCCCCGTAGCCATTTTGGCTCAAGATGTTGAGTTCCGCAGGGGAACAAGTGGATACCGCTAGTCCGCGGCAGTGCCAGGGCTGTTCAGCCCGACATCTTCTCTCGAGACCTGTACGGGGAGCTACGCGCTGCCGTCCAGAGTCCCAGCCCAGCCCGCCGCCATGTCGGATCGCAGGCGCGGAGGCGGCAAGTCCCCAGCTCCAAGGGTCTCCTTCTCGTCCGACTACGTGGGATGCAAGAAGTGCGGTTACCGTTGGACCTACAAGACCAAGCAGTCCTGCTACAGCTGTGGGCAGGCCCTGCGACCATCGTACTCTCCTGCTCCCAAGCCCCGTGGCGTCTGGGCTAGCGGCAGCGGAGGCTGGTGGCAGGACAACCACAAAGGCGCCGACTGGTACCAGGAAGCCGAGGAGACCACGCAGAGGACCGAGCCGCTTGCGATCGGCGAGGTGGCGCAGACCCTCGGCGGGCAGGCCCTCTCCGAGGCCCAGAGGCAGGCGCTCCAGCAGCTCGAGAGCGCCTTCGCCCCGCCGGCCCCTGCAGAGCGCCCCGCGCTCCTGGAGGAGGGCATCCAGCGGGCGGCCGCGGCGGAGAGGGCTGCTCGTCGGGAGCTGGAGAAGCGTGCCAAGCAGCTGGCCGACGCCAAGCTCTGGCTCGACGAATGCCAGGCTCGATCCGATGCGGCAGCTGACGCCCTGGTGGGGGCTGAGGTCAAGCTGGCGCAGGAGAAGAAGGCGTTGGCGTCTCCAGGCAAGGACCCTCAGCCTGAGGGGACCAACAAGGGCGGCGGGGTCATCAACCTCTCTGCCTTGTTGGGCGAAGGAGAGGCCAGTTTTGTCATCGAGGACGGCCCCCTCTTCGACCTGGAGGGGCTGGATATCACATCCGAGCAGCGGCAGCAGTTCAACAAGCTCAAGCAGACCTTCGAGGCGTCGGTGCAGCAGGCGGTCCGCACGCACTTCGGGCCAGGGGCCGACGTCCTCAAGTCCCAGCGCGAGCAGCTCGAAGAGATCAGGATGCTCCGCGAGACCTTCGAGAAGCGCAGGCGGGAGCACCCCCTGCGGCCGCGGCGGCAACAGAGGCGTCGTCGCCCCAGACCCCCGAGGGGAGCCCGCCGCAGGCGCCTGCCCAGGCCAAGCGCGAGGACCCTCCTGCGGAGGCGGCGGCTGCAGAGGCGCCAGCGGCCCAGAGCCCCGAGGGAGGCCCGCCGCAGGCGCCAGCCCAGGCCCCCCAGGAGGCCCAGCAGGCTGCCCAGCCCGCCGCGGAGCCGCAGGGTGCCCAGGGCGCTTCGCCTGGCGCTGCCAGCTCTGACGCTGGCCCTGACGCTGGTCGTGAAGCCGCTGGCAAGGAGCTGGCGGAGGCCTTGCAGCGCGCCAGGGCTCGCAGGGCGGAGGCAGTCGCCAAGCCAGTACCTCTTTAGCCCGCACGGGCTCGGCAGCCTGGCCTCCACGGCTGCAGGTACCAGTACACAATGCTCTACATGGTCGGGTTCATGGCATGAGCCCAGCACGTCGCAGGAGCCAGAACCTTTCAGAGGGTCTCCTCCTGACGCAGTCAGTACATCATTCTCTACATGGTCAAGTTCACCGAAGGCGAGCCCTCCGCGTCGTCGAGGCAAGGGCGGCACGCGCAACGTGGGGCTCGAGTTCATAGGCTTCAACTGTTCATCTTGGGCGCAGGCTATTGATGTCTTGGATGAGGCCGCTACAAGGAAGATCGTGGGCCCCATGCATATCACGTTCCTTCAGGAGCATAGGCTGGCCGCGCCCATTGCCAAGGACATCGAGGCGGCCAGCTTCAACAGGCACTACACGGCAGCACTGGTTCCAGCTGTCAGCGGCCCAGGCGGGCGGCCGACTAGTGGAGTTGGGTTCCTCGTGCCAAGGAATGTTGGCCTTACACATCTTGAAGGCATGAATACGTTTGATATCTCACCTCCTGGGTCGCCTGGCCGCGTGGCAGTGGGCTGGTGCTCTGCTGGACAGAAGGGTGGCCTCATGATTATCACGGCATACTTTTGGACACGGGAAGGTTGGACGATTCGAAACTTGTCAATTCTGGAGTCCATTGCAACGGTCATCAAGCAGTATGACATACCGCGGGTATTCCAAGCAGACTTCAACGAGACGGGGGAGTCTTTACTCAAGACGGGTTGGTGCCAAGATGTGGGTGGAGTTGTGCGACCCCCTTCCACTACCACGTGTTCAGGAGTCGGCGGTGGCAGTATCATCGATTTCTTTGTGCTCGACGCCCGCATCCAGCATGCTTTCGGAGACACGGTAGAAGTATTAGACACCGCAGCCGCACCTCACTCGCCCGTTCGCCTAGTCATGCAGTCAGTCCAGGATGCGAGCAAAAGGCGGCTGGAGGCTTGCCAAGCCCAGACCTTTCCCAATGGAGAGGCCGTGCGGACCAGTCCCGCAGCCTGCGCAGTGGCCAGATTTCGATCATCAGGACGATTTAAATGGCACCCAGCTTGACCAGCTTTGGAAGCAGATTTCACACTGTGCTGAAACAGAGCTGGTGAATCTCCTGGGCGTGGAAGAACCCCAATCCTACCTCGGTCGGGGCGATCCTCCTCGGTGGACCTGGGCCCCCCCTCGCTGGTCCTCAATCGCACGCACGCCCCAGGGGAACGCCTAGCTCCCGAGCTTGGCGGTGGGCCGCCGCACGAGCCAGTGATTTTATTTTCCTCGCGCAAGCTGCCCAGCAGGAAGGTACCTGGATGCACGCACGCGCGCGACGAGCAAAGCTCGAGCGCCGCATCGAAGGAGGAAGGAGCCGGTTGGTTCACGACTTGGGGGAGGAGGCTGAGCACGTAATCGCCCAGTTTGAACGATACCGCGCCTTTTGTCTCGAGGGCCCAGCGCTCATGGAGCAGGCCCCCGAGATCATGGGTCTCCAGCGACGAGCTGTAGCCAACGCTCAGACCATCGAGCGGCATCAGGCAGCCACACGGTCAAAAGAATGGCGAGAACGTTTGAAGACGGAATCGGCAGCAGGCTCTTCTTTCACCCACAGGATCAGCAAGTGGCGTACCCCTCCTCCCCCCGTCACGGGTTACTCCGTCTCCAACCTCGAGCTTGCTGATCCTCAGGAAGCGGCCGACAGGGCTGCGCAAGAGTGGTTTGACGTTTGGGGCTCCCATGGACAGGAAAGCACGGGCCCCTCAGACCGACCCTGGGAGGCCGCTCGTTTCGCCCATCCGTTGGTTCACCTGGACCGCCAGCTGTTGACCAAAATATGTTTGAGTTTTCCTGCCAGGACTGGAATAGGCTCCGACCACTGGCACCCACGCTGGTGGGCTTGGATTTCGGACGAAGGCAAAGACTGCCTCATTCAGCTAGTAATGTTTATCTCTCGCACGGCACAGTTCCCACCGCAGGTAAGGTACATCATATACTTCCTACTTTCGAAGGAGTCGGGAGGCACACGGCCGATTGGGCTCCTCCCCTCCCTCATGCGTGTAGTAGAACGAGCTCACTCTGGCCTCTTTCACGACTGGGAGCGCTCGGCCAAGCGCAAATATGACTTCGAGGGCCCTGGAGGGGGCTCCGAAGAGGCAGCATGGCACCAGATGGTGCACGATGAGGGGACGCGCGAGGGGGAGGTGTCGGTGACGGGGGTGCTGGGTCTGTCGCGTGCTTTTGAACATGTAACCATGAATGCTCTGTGGGTCGTAGCCCCTCTTTGCGGCTTCCCACAGCAGCTAGCCAAGCTTCTCATCAGCATCTACACGTCCACCAGGCTGGTTGCCTTTCGAGGGGTCCTAGCCAAGAAGTCGATTTAAACTTGTTCGGCCGTTGTGGCTGGCTCGATCGGTGGCACCAGGGCACTCAAGACGGTGGTGCTGCAGGTCACAGATGCAATACATCAAGCCTGGGGGGCTCGCCTCCAGATGAAATTATTCGTCGACGATCTCAGTATTCAGGTCCGAGGAGCGTTGCGATGTCTCAATGTTCTGCAGGCTGCTGTCACGTTCTATATCCGTGAGATTGAAGGTACCTGGCGCATCCCTGTCTCCCGTGGTGCCCGCGGCAAAGGGTACATCCTCGTCGCCTCGGCCTCGGCTCGGAATCGCTGCGCTGCTTGGGCCAAAGACCTGGGTCTTGCCATCAACGACACGAGCTCACAGCTGGGAGTGGACAGCGCTGGAGGCGCCGTAGTTCGCAAAAGAAAGAAAATGCAGAAGCGATTTAAATACGCATGCCAGCGCAAGTCAAAATTTAAAGCCCTCTCAAAGCAAGGGGCCCGCCTCGCCAGGGTTGTCCGCCAAGGGGTGATCCCGTCCGTGACCTACGGGTCGAGCTGTTTAGGAGTCTCGCCTGTTTCTCTGAACAGAATGCGTGTCATGGTTTCGGGCGGCCTGGGCCGTAGTGCGATTGGTCGAGACAGAGTCCTCCGACTCTGGACGTATCAAGTTGATCCTGTGGTCGAGGGATCGCAGAGGCCGCTATGCATGTGGGCCACGCAGGCCTGGAATGGAGTGCATCAGGTAGACATGGCCAGGGCCTGGCGCAGGGAAATGTCACGCGAAGCGGCCAGACGGAGTCGGACGCTAGATCGCCCCTGGAGCCAAGTTCGAGGGCCAGATTCTGCTTGTAATCTTACGCTGCAGAGGCCGGGCTGGTCCTGGCCTAGCTGGCACACCATCCGCATTCACACTGGTGAAATGTTTGGCATGCGCCGATCGGCGCCCAGCACGCTGCGCAAGTATATTTACCTTCGTTTAGAGGATCAAGAGCTCACCGACTGGGCAGCGCATCGAGGCATGCCCTTTCGGAAGCCCTTCCTCGACCCTTGTCGCGCAGCAGTCAGGACAAAAAAGAAAAAGGGCCAGAAGCAGTCGGCTATGCTAGCTTTCCTGTGCAGCGATTTTTGGGCGCAAAATAAAGCGTGGAGAGCAGGCCACTCGGAAGATCGAAGTTGTCAAAAGTGCGGGCACGCCATCGGAAATCAGCACCATAGATTTTGTAGGTGTCCAGCTTTTCAGGAGCAGCGCCAGGCTGCAGGTGAATCTTATCCTGATAGAATCCACCGTGCCTCCTCCTCGTCCTCCTCCTCCCGTCTCTTCTCCAGGGCTCTCGCGCCTCACCCACTGGGGGACCCCTTCCAGGACGTCACGCCCAGCATTGAGACCCTGGACCCCGAGTACGGGGACGATCCCCTTCTCTCGGGCCCGGCCTATTCGGATGGGTCGGGGGTCGGGGTCTCTGGGTTGAAAACGTTCGGTTGGGGCCTCTGCTTTGTTGACCAGCACGGTAATGTACGCAAAGCGATGCATGGTGGGGTTCCAGGAGTAAGGCAGGCACAAAGTGCGCTTAGAGCTGAATTGCATGGTTTCTTGAATGTTCTTCGTCACGGCACAGCCCCGCTGCAGGTAGGGATCGATAATTCCACAGTCGTTCGGGGCTTCAGGCGAGGCCCAGTTTGGCGCCGCCAAGCCAGGCGACCGCATGCCGATTTATGGCACATGATTTGGAATGCGATTGAGGATTCGTTCTCGGGGGAGGGGGACCTCGTCGTCGTCAAGGTCAAAGCGCATTCCAAAAAGGCTCAGGCCCAGCAGCTCGAGGGACTCGAGCTGTGCAACTACCTAGGGAATCAATGCGCCGACCTTCAAGCGAAGGAAGGAGCCAAGCTAGACGCCATCCCGCCTCACACTCGTGACACGTGGGTGTCTAGGTTCAAGGAGGTTTGTGCTGTTCTCGGGCTCGTCGGTGGCATGACTTGTAAGATAGGCACGCTTGACGACACCACAGGCCGTCTCCAGAATGCCCCCCAGCCCCCTGGCCCTCGGCCGCGCCGTCCGGTGCTGCCTCCCCCAGAGTCTCGGCACGTCCTGGAGTGGGATAGGGGGTCTTGGAGGTGTGCTTGTTGTGCTAGACGGGCCCACAGCTATAAGGCCAAGCTGGTGTTGTCTCGTAAGTTTTGCAGGAAGGGTTTCTCCTCCCACGGCAAGTGGAAGAAGATAGCGCGCGTCGACGGGGCTCCTTTGCAGGGGCCAAGGCGACACAAGCTGTCTCGAATAGGCCACTATACCTTCTGTCGAGAGTGCGGCGCCTTTTTGAGCGCCAGGGCTTGTGGGTTACTTGCTGGATGTCCTAAGGACCCGAAGGACCACAACGCCAAGACTCGACGAAATCGTTTGCTGGCAGGTAAGCATCCGTATAAGAATGAGAGACTGCCTGGAGAGGTGGTCGCGCTGTCAAGAACCCAGGAATTGGATTTTCTGGAGTCGATTGGGATTGCTGCCAGGGCCTCTGCCGCTGGAAGCGGCGTGGAGGCACTTTCTTCCTCCGCCGCCTCAGGCGGTGCGGAGGTCTAACCAGGTCTGTCGCAGGTGGGCGCGAGGTGCTCGCCCACGCTGTGCTCGCGGGACCTCCTCCTCCTCCTCCTCCTCCTCCTCCTCCTCCTCCT